GTGGGACTGCATGGGGATACGAGTGCAGCTTCAGCCCTCATCCGAAGCAGCATTTTTGACAAACACGAGACATGTAATCTGCAACGCAGGGCACCCGAACGTGAAGAAACATGCTGGATCGAGGTGCCGCAAGGGCCGTCGCCCGTCCACGCAGTATCAAGCAAAGGAAGCGGAAGCCGAAACTCCCAACCCAAAACCCCTAAACCACAAACCTGGAAGCCCTAATGTAGGCTTCCCAGGATCTTGCTGTTAGCGTCTGGTTTGGGGGGGGTCACTGGGGGAGGGGATTAAGAGGTGGGAAATAGAGGGAATCCGAATAGGAACCTCTGACCGCTTCGGCCGGGGCCGATGCGAATTATGATAGTCCATTTTTTTCACCACCGCCTCCCCTCACAGCAAAAATTGTAAGTGTACCGCCCCACAGGGTTTTTGCAGCCCGGCAGGTTTCTGAATATGTCCTGGGCGACAAACTGGGACGGCACCAAGTACGACATTGTCTTCTTCGGCAGCACGGTCGAACTTTAGAAGGTGAAACGACTTTGGTGCAAAGCTTCATCACATGGTGAGGGACACGCGAAGCTGGCTCTGCATCAGATCCTGTCGAGTGGTATCGAGTTTGTTAAGGTCGAACCGTCGAACCCGCACACAGCTCCGAAGCATTTCGTCATGGGCAATATTGCCGCGGCATCAAGCCCTGTACCCCATCTGACGGCCTGCGGCTTTAAACACCAGCCATACTATAGAATTTAGAAGCCTGGTAAGTTCGCTATGAATACGAAACGAGATTTTTAGGGTTGCTTAAGTTGAGTTTGCTATAACACGCCAGTGCCATATTGTAGTTATTAAGGCGTATATTACTACTACCCATGAACCGAACCCCCTGAAACTTGCCTGCATCTCGTCCCTGCTGTGAATCCGCCCTTCCATTGGGCACTGTGCTGCTGGCGGCCTTGTAGTATATTATACTACGAATATGCAGCGACTGTAAGGGAATAAGATACGTACGAATTGTTCTGGCGTCTATAGCAGCTTAGAACATCCCGACCCCTACACAAGTTACCGCTTTTTCTCCAATTCCCATGTCCCGTCAAGGAGTTCTCCCTAAACCCTAAACCCTTCACGGCTGTAAGCCGTGGGCTTCGGCTTGGGATCACCCTTCAGGTTCTCGCTCCGACGGTCTATGGTAGTATCAGGGAGACGCCTCAAAGGGGACCCTTCTCAACCCTACTTTTGGCTCTCTTTAAAAGAGATCTTATTGAGAAGGTCTATATCCCCAAGTCCCCACTTCATCCTCACTCCAACAGTCGGCTTGCGCTTAAAGAGGGCTCGGAGGTAACGGAAACGCTTTAGTCTGGGACATTTTCAGGTGGGTAGTTACCGTTACAGGAGATTTATAGAAGGTCTATATACCTTATAGAAGCCCTATAGAAGCCCCATATACCCTAAACTCCCCACCTGTAGTTTCCTTTAGCTCAACCCGATAAACCCTAACCCTAAACCCTAAACCCTGCAAGCCCTAAGCCCTAAACCCTACAAGCCCTAAACCCCTAAACCCTGTACCCCAAACCCCGAAACCCCAAGGTGTCTCCGGCTACACCGGTTACCTCATGATCTCGTATCTGAAGAGTGCCTCGGCCCGACGTTTTCAGCACCTTAAGGGTTTTGGGTTTAAGGTTTAGGGTTTAGGGGTTTGGGGTTTAGGGTTTAGGGCTTCGCACCTAAGAAAAGGGGCCTCAGTAAGTAGCAAAGCTATTTTGGAAGTTCCTTATTCGAATTATGGTATATTATGGGCCCCCAAAACCCTATCCTAATTATGAAGGCCCCTACACCCTAAACCCTTCTAGTAGCCCTTATAGAACCCTGTAAGGAACCCTTAAAAGGAACCCTTAAAAGGAACCCCAAGAACCCTATCCTAATTATGAAGGCCCCTACATTAGACCCCAAGAGCCCCTTACCTGGACCTGACAGACTCTCCCTTTGTAAAGGCGGGTTTTCTCATGTCCAGGCAGACCCCGGAAGCCATTCCCCAGTTTAGGTTTTAGGTTTAGGGTTTAGGGTTTAGGGTTTAGGGTTTAGGGTTTAAGTTCAGGGTTTAGGGTTTAAGCCCGTTGCTTCGACATCAAAGGGTATTGATCACCTGTGTGTTGCCTCGTCTATTCGGAACATCAGGATTGGATATTCACCAAGCCCTTAGCGGAAACCCTCCCGTAAAGCCCAAACCCTAAACCCTAAACCCTAAATCCTAAACCCTAAATCTTAAATCCTAAACCCTAAACCCTAAATGCATCCTCACCCATACTATCCTGAACCCTGAACCCTAAACTCCACTCCCCACTCTCCTAAACCCTAAACCCCTACTCTCCTAAACCCCAAACCCTAAACCCCAAACCCTAAACCCTAAACCCTACTCCCCTAAACCCTAAACCCTAAACGCTAAAGGCCCTAAACCCTACTCTCCTGACCCCTAAACCCTAAACCCCAAACCCTAAACCCCACTCTCCTAAACCCTAAACCCTGCCTGCAAGCCCCACGCTGAGAGCCTGGTAGCGGTGAGGTTCGGTCATAGTCGTAGTTTGGAAGCCGGGAAATATTCTGGCATTGGGTTCAGGGTTTAGGGGGTTAGGGGTTTCATCGGGTTCTATAATGGTTTTTCGAGGATTCTACCATGGCTGTGTTTAATGTAGAAGCCCACATAGTGAGTAATATAATTCCTTAGGGTTCCGTATTATACTTATAGTTCCGCATACACCGAAACCCTGTTTGCATTCTCAAGTTGAGAACCCCAAATCAGACCACACCGCCCTACATTTCACAGACGGCAATCCAGTCAAAAGGGTCCAGAGTGCTAACTATCTGGGGCCAATGATCTCTTGAGAACGCTCCTTCCAGCTAGCCTTGCTCCATAGGCTAGCTTTAGCAGAAGAAGCATACAAGAATCTTAAGTTGGTTTGGAACAGCACAATGTCTAGATCCCGCAAGATTAAAATCTTCGAGTCCACGTTCGTGCCCATCCTGTTATATGGCCTTGATGCACTGACGCTAGCCCAAAAGCAGTTGCACCGCGCAGACTCCCAATACATGAGATTCTTTCGCAGGGTTGTGGGTATAAAGGTTTCCTACTACTCAGTTTCTACTCTCGCATACGTAACGTTGAAGTTTACAAACAAGCCAATTATCCCACATTGCCTTCAACGACCCTCCAGTACAGCCAATACAAGACTTTCACCAACATCTTCTCACTTCCCAGAACCAATCCCGTACAGGGTGTAGTTTTCGGTTCAGCTTAGAAGGACAAAATTTTACTCCAGGGCCGCAGAAAAGGAAAACTACACCCATATTGGTTGGAAGCATGCTCCTATAGGTACTTCAGGGATTGCTTGCCCTGACCACACCGCCCCGGCCGGCCATAGGCATTCAGGGTATGTGCAGATAGCTCGCATGTTGCAGAGTTCTTCTTTCGAGCTAGTGCCGAGGAGCGCATTCTCACAGCGCTCACGGCCATAGCGAAAAAGTAATTAGCAATACCATTTTGGGGGTTCCTTAAAAACCCTATTCTAATTATTAAGGCCCCTATACCCTAAACCCTTATAGTAGCCCTTCTAGAACCCTTGCAGGAACCCTTAAAGGAACCCCAAAACCCTATTCTAAGGCCCCTACAGTATGATACTCTACGTCGCAGATCCAAAAGCCAGCATCTCAAGCCTGAGCCCGACATCCTGGCCTAAACTCCCTATGTTCAGGGTTTAGGGTTTAAGGTTTAGGGTTTAGGGTTTAGGGTTTAGGGTTCGTCTAAACCCTGGGCTAAATTAGTACACTAAACCCTTAACCCTAAACCACCACCGGATTATGTCCCCCTGCCAGAAACTGCGCTGAAGCGGAACCCGGAGCCCTTCACCTTCGCGCTCGCCGGTCGCACCCCAAACAAGGCGGGGCAAAGTGCCCTTCCAAAAGTTTCGGCTCTTAGGGTTTAAGGGGCTTCCGTGTTTAGGGTTTAAGGGGATTTGGGGTTTAGGGTTTAAGGTTTACGGGGCTTTTGGGTTTAGGGTATAGGGGGCTTTCGGGTCTTAGGACACTTACTATTTCGTGTCCGAGGAGTTTAGGGTTTCACGGCTTCTTTGGTTTGCGACTGGCTTTCGGTTCTGGGGGCGGAGCCCAGGACCCGAGGTGCAGTGTTTCACATAGGTAGTTGTCAAAATTATGGTCCCTTTTGGGGTACCCTAAATAATAGGTGCCGTATTATAATAGGGACCCAAAAAGGGACCATAATTTTGATAACCACCCACATAGAGGATCCGGAGACTTACGTAGTATACAAGGCTTTTGCACACAGGAATTTACAATGGCTGAGGCCGAGGTACTGAAATCCCAATTTGCTCAGTCCCACGATCCTCCAAGTACTTGAAAGATCGGGGGACGTAGTAAGTAGGTAATAAGTAGAATTATAAGTACGCTGACAAGGACTCCTTGTTGGGGCTATGATACTTAAGACTTGTACCTCTATAAACAAACTACTTACTAAGTCAACCCTAAACCCTAAACCCGAAACCCTAAACCCTAAACCCTAAACCCTAAACCCTAAACCCGAAACCCTAAACCCTAAACCCGATACCCTAAACCCCTAAACCCCTAAACCCCTAAACATCAAACCATCCCACTCCCCAGACCCCCAAAAGGATCTAAGAAATAGATCCCCTAAAGGGGGTTCCCATAAAGTACCCTTTAGTAGTTAGGGTCCCTAATTAGGGGATCTATTTTGTAGATCCCTTTTGGGGGTCTGGGTCATGGAGCCCGTTGATGCTTTTGGCCGGGATCTGCGGAAGCGCCGGTCCTTTGGGGCTTTGGGCGCTTCGGCAGCTGGCGCCGGGGCAGCCGCGGGGGCCTCCGGCTCGGGGGTTTAGTTTAGGGTTTTGGGTTTAGGGTTTTGGGTTTGGGTTTTGGGTTTGGGTTTTGGGTTTGGGGTTTGGGGTTTGGGGTTTCGGGTTTAGGGGTGTTGAGAGCAGGCTTTCTCCCTGTGGGACGACATCGACGTTCACATGATGTGGTTGGATTCCTGCGGCCCGACTGGTTCGAAGTTCTCCGATCGCCCCATATCTTGCTTTGACTAGAATGTTCTTTTTCTGATTTTCTGAATGCTGACAACTTATAATATATAAGGGGTCAGCCTTAGTCAGGCACAGAGGAGGTATTGGGCTTTTTTGGTTTTCCGCTGATCATGAGTAACTCTTCTGGGGCCAAGAAGTTGTAGCACTCACTAGACTTGTTTTTTTGATGATTCCATTCCACACTTGTATGTCAGGCAAACCATGACGCGCCCATATGATGAAGACCCTACAGCCTAAACCCCAAACCCCCCCATACTACGAATGGGCCACCATTTCTTTGGTGTTCAACTGTTTCGTAGAAGCTAAACCGTAAACCCCTAAACCCCAAACCCTCAACCCTAATCCCCTAAACCCCAAACCCTACACCGTAAACCCTAATCCCTAAACCCCGAAACCCCGAAAGTCCCAAATTGAACCCTCAACAACTTGATTCAGGGCTCGGGGCTTTCGGACTTGAGCAAAGGGGCCTTGATAATTAGAATCGGTTTTTGGAGGTACAGTAGACCATACTTATAAGGGAACCTTTAGGGTTTAGGGTTCAGGGTGGGGGAATAGTGGCAAGTATTCCGACACCTATAGTGAACCCCAGAAAGTTGGAACATTGATTTAGGATGATTAGTGCGGGGATTCCCTATACTTTACCTTAAGGACATGAGGAGAATGATGTTCCAACTTTCTGGCTTCTACTGTATATTAGGCGTTTAGGGCTAGGGCCCGGAATCTGCCCAGTCAGCTTTGAGCGGCAAAGGTGGTACTAGAATTGTATGGGGATCAATGGCCCTCTACGAAAGGATTCACAGCTCATATGGGGGTTTCCGAAAATAGGGGACCCTAATATAGTACCCTAAATACTAGGATCCTTATTATAAGGACCCCCCCAAAATAAGGTACCCTAATTTTCGGAAACTCCCATATGCCTTCCTGATATCATTATACTACGGCACCTATTATTTAGGGTACCCCAAAAGGGACCCTAATTTTGACAACTACCCATATGCCTTCCTGATATCTGGTATCGAAGCTCGTGGGTTGGATTCAGTTCTCCGGGTGCCGGGATTCGGGTACAGGCCTTCGGGATCCAGGAGGTTCAGGCAAAGGGAGAAAGCTCGTGACGCTTATTGCGAGACACTAAGGGTTTAGGGTTTAGGGTTTAGGGTTTAGGGGCAAAGAGAGAAAGCTCGTGACGCTTATTGCGAGACACTATAAGGTCACTAAAGCCAGCAGGAGCCTATCAGCGCCCTGAGCATCAGCCCTAATACTGATATGCAGGCATGTGCAGTGATGCAGATGCCTGAAACACCCTGGAACCCTAAATCCGCCTCAACCTCTAACTTACAGGTTTTTGCAGCAAAGAGGTTCGTGAAATTATCAAGGGCTCTATACTAGCTTTCAGAACCGCTGGAGCAAGAAGAGAGAAGTCAGAAGAAGGGCATTCCATCAAGCTCTCCAGGCAGTTCTTTTTCTCTCGTTGCCCTGGGACCCTCAGACCAAAGTCAGCTCTTTAAACGCCAAATCAATGCAGCTACTCCCGAGCTCTCAAGCCCAAAGCAAGTCGATCCCGGTTCCGAGAGCCCCAACTACGCACTAAAGCTTCGATACCAACAAGGGTTTAGGGTTTTGGTTCAGGGTTTAGGGTTTAGGGTCAAATTTCTGACCTGAACGGTCCGATTACAGAGTACTGAGGGGGAGGTTAATGATGGTACCCCGAGAATCCTCGAGCAACCAAGGCTACCCCGAGGACAAGCCACTCAGCCTCGAGTGAAGGAAGAACGTGGGAGTTTTGCTTTCGAGTTTCGGGGTTAGTCAAAGTTTGGTGGCTCCTCGTCTTCTAGCTCTTTACCACGGGTCCGAGTACTTGGAGTCTGTATTGGGGTCCCTTCTTTCTTTACCAAGGGTCCTAGTATTTGGCAGCTTTTCTAGGGTCCTCCACTGTTTGTTCTGCAGTATAACGCGCCTGTTTTGTTGGAAGTGGCACCCCCCAACATCCTAACCCTCATTCAACTACTTTCGCAGCACCCTCATAGCAAAGACATTATGAATCCATGCAGAATTGTCTAGAACGATTACAAAACTCTGCAAAGAACCCTTGAAGGATCCGTCAGGCACTCCCGTATAGCACCCTAATAAGCCTCAGCATTTTGAGGCCCTGCAGCGATCCGGGTGTCCACCGAGGAATGTGTGTCTCGCCGGGTCTGGTGCTGTGTTCGGGTTTAGGGCTTTGGGTTTAGGGGCCGCGGTTTAGGGTTTAGGGTTTCGGGTTTAGGCTTCTAGTGATCTGGACATAAAATACGGGTTACTATGAGGGTTCCTTTTAAAGGGGTCTGTCTGTACGAGTTACTATACGGCTATCCTGGTTACTTTATTCCAACGATGAAGGCCCCTGCACTGTTACGCTTGCGTTGTGGTCAAGAGCAGTTCAGGCTTTGGGATTTCCGGATTGGGGTCATTGGCTTGGGGTTTACGGTCAAAGATGGTAGATACTGCAGAAGATATTTTGCACTGAAGCGCGAATGAGGAGGACACTGGCGTATGCAAGGACCCTCAGTAGCTATGCAAAACCATTCCTTGCGGTTCTATTTGCTGATCTCAGATTTGGTTTATAGGGCTTTAGGGTTTCAGGGCTTAGGGCTTAGACTTCGGACTTATGTAGGAACTTCCACTTCTCTGTAACGAAACCTAAGGCCTCATCATATTGGCAAGCCCTAAACCCAAAACCCTAAACCTTAGAGCGCTAAACCCTAAAGCCTAAAGCCCTAAACCCAAAGCCCTGCAACCCTAAATCCCCAAAACCCTAAAGCGCTATGCCCGAAAGCTAGGGCTGTCAGAGTGTAAGGCTGGGAAATAGGAGCTACAACTAGAGCGACTGTGACGCATCCGAAACGCCACACCAGAAGACAACATCCGCGTAAAGCCATCAAGGCAAAAAGGTTAAGTAGAAGTCCTACAGGGGTTTGGGTTTAGGGTTTAGGGTGAACACCGCAAAGCAAGTGCGACGTGTTTCTGCCGATAGTAGCCCTTAGAGTAGCCTCTCTGGTGCCCTTTTTGCGGCTCTCAAAAGGAACCCGCACCCTGCAAAACCCAAAGCCCCAGCCCCTAAACCCTAAACCTTGATCCCTAAACCCCCAGGGTTTAGGGTTTAGGGTTTAGGATAGTAGATACTTAGGCCTTAAAGTACTTATATAGGGTTTAGGGTTTAGGGTTTATATAGCCTTTAGACGAAGCAAAAAGGAACCCAAGGGCTCCGTTTTTTTGGTGCTGAAGGCCCAGGTGGCGAGGAGAGCGCGCCCCAAAACGTGCGCAGGAAGATCTCTGGCTGCAAGAAGTCCGGGATGGTGTTCCTTTAAGAGCCCCTTTCAGGGTTCCCTAAGAGTTCCTTTAAGGGTTGTGCAAGGGGGGGTTTAGGGTTTGGGGCTTAGGATGGTTCCTTTAAGAGCCCCTTTCAGGGTTCCCTAAGAGTTGCTTTAAGGGTTGTGCAACCGGGGGGTTTAGGGTTTGGGTTTTAGGATGGTGTACCTGTGGCCCAGAAGACCATACCTTTTTAAAACGAACTATATATAGAAACCATCATAAGGAACCCTAACAAGGTAGGTAGCTCTTTTGGCTACAGGTAGGGGCTTAGGGGCTTAGGGCCCAAACCCTAAACCCCAAACCCTAAACCCTACTGCTGAGTGAGGGATGAGGTAGATGTACGAAGGCCTGCCCTACCTGGGCTTTGGAGCGCAAGCGACGAAAAAGGCACTTCAAAAAAAAAACAACAAATGCCAAACCCTAATCCCTATAAGCCCTAATCCCTAAACCCTAAACCCTAAACCCTAAACCCTATAAGCCCCAATCCCTCAACCCTAAGCCGGCTGAGGGCTTCAGGCTTCAGATTGCAGGTTTAGGGTTTAGGGTTTAGGGTGTAGGGTGTAGGGTTTAGGGTTTAGGGTTTTGGGTTTAGGGTTCATTATATCAGCTTCGGCTATGCTCTCGGATGGAGTCTTTAGGCTTTCGGAAGTCGGTTTAGGGCGTGGGGCTTATAGGGATGAGGGTTTAGGGTTTCGGGCTTGTAGGGATTAGGGATTGGGGTTTAGGGCTTTTAGGCATCGGGGTTTGGGTTTTTGGGTTTTGGGTGTCTTGCTCCCTTGCAGACAGGATTCATGCGTCCTGTAATGGGTTTGCAAAGGTGTGTATAGACTCCAGGCTGAACGATTGTAACACCCGTCATAGTCCTTTTCGAACCATGCTGTACTCTATGCTGCAAACCTGTTCTTATAGTTAGTCTTACACGGCTCCTTGGTCCAGGCACTACAGCAGTATTGTAAGGGGGTGCTTGTTGGGGTCTACAAGTGTTTTCTTGTTGTTTTGCAGGGCTTCCTATATCCCAAATGGTCGTCAATGGAGAACGCTCAAGCCTTCCAGAATTCTAAGCCCTAAAAACCTGTGCTCTCCCTCTTAAGGTCATTGATCCCTTAGAATCCCCGAGAACAGAAAGCATCCAAGAAGCCAACATCGCAGAAAGTAGCGTTTCCAAATTACGACTTGGTGTTGTTTCTGGTTTGTGTCAGTATCGCCCACTCAGCTTCGGGAAAGGCCACATATAGTACCCTTATAGTATATAGTACCCTTTAAGTAAGCCTTCTACTGAGCCTCAAACCCTAAACTCGCCAGAGTTTTACATAAGGCACACCTTCGGCCACGTTATCTTCGCAAACGCGGCGGTTGGAGAGATCGGCACTACCCAGTCCGCCGCCAGACTGCATTGGGTTTAGGGTAAAAACTTTAAGGGGTTAGGGAGTTTAGGGTTTAGGATTCTTGTTAGCTGGTATTTGGCTCGACGCCCCTTTTACAGGACTATGAGGACCCAGAAGTGGGCACATGACCGTACTTTTGGATAGTATCGAGCAGCAGCCCGAGGGGACATGTGCTGGATGGAGCCTCATAGTATATGAGTAGTTCTCTAAACTAGGGTTCTTCGTAGGATCGTTTTATATAAGAGTGCCGTACTATGTTTGGAACCAAAAATGTAAAAGGGACTTTAATTTCGAGAACTACCCACATGAGCAGTTCAGAAGTACCGAACCGAGATCCTGCAGTAAGAAATCGGATGTTTATCGAAAGGAACCCTGAGAGAAAGCTACCCTTTCTTTATAATTTATATGCTATGCAATAAGTACAGTAGTATATTACATATGGTCATATCATATCATATCATATCATATCATAGCATGACATATCATGACATATCATTACATAACATATCATGTCACATCACATCACATCACATCACATCACATCACATCACATCACATCACATCACATCACACCACACCACACCACACCACACCACATCATATCATATCATGTCATGTTATATTACATAATTACTACATAACAATATATTAGGCTGTACCATAGTGTCGTCTTTTATCTGATTACAGTTTGTCAAAGGTCTACCCCGGTTCTCCGGTGACATCACCACCCTCAACTACGGCGACCATGCCAACGGAGACGACCACGACCACAGAGCTTACGGCGACTATGCCGACAGAGACGTCCACGACCACACAGCTGACCACGACCGGCACCTCCACAGGTCCCCCAGCTGAGCCATTTGAGTGATTTAGACATCCCGAATGCCACAAAACTGAAGGGGCTGTGGCCTGGTGGTTTTCAAGGGTTCTTCAGTTTGGAGTTCGACCGGGGGGCCACGCGCACGGGTGCCGAGCATAGCGAGCTTGAAATTTCGGCGCTTTGTGAGAGTGTGACATCCATGCTTGTCTTGCGTAGACAGTCAAGCACAGAGGGAGACGCATGTGCATGTAGAGAACTGTATGTATGTACCAGGAATCCAAAACCCTCAACCCTAAAACCCTGACCACTAAACCCTAAACGTCCTGAACCCTAAAAACGGAGCCTTAGGGTAGTCACCCCAAAAAGAGTGAGCGCGAGGGCTTTTGAGCTGAGCATGAGCATCGACACCCGAGAAGCCAGAACATCCAAAACCCTAAACTCCGAGGCCTCCAATAACATAGAAACCTGAGTCATTGCTTTAGGGTTTAGGGTTTAGGGTTTAGGGTTTAGGGTTATATAATTATAATGATGATCATTACTATCATTAAGTATTGTTGTTATTGGTATTGTTATTCTTGTTGTACTAACTATTATTGTTGCTATTATCTTTAATCCACAGGGCTTTTTGATAGGACTATACTAGCTATACTATACCAAATCTCGGCACCCCATTCCGATTCGGACATATTATTGCCGCTGAATCCCAAACCCGTGCGCAGCGCGTGCGGAAGGTGCTTGGGAGCCCGTAGATGGAGGCGAGGGCCGCGCATGCCGTGGCGCCAGCCGCAGCGACAACAAACCTCAGTGCTCTCAGTGGCAGCTAGAGGGTTTCTCTTAACGGTTTTAGGGTTTAGGGTTTAGGGTTTAGGGTTAAGGGCTTCGAATTTTTTAGGCTTTGGGGTTACCGTATGGTTTCCCTTCGCTGTTCCCTTTAGGGCATCGGATTTTTTAGCCTCTTGGGGCTCCTTCAGGGTTGTGGGCTTAGGGGTCAGGGTCCAGGAGTCGGGGATATCCTTGGGGTTTAGGGTTTAGGGTTTAGGGTTTAGGGTTTAGGGTCTAGGGTTTAGGGTTTAGGGTTTAGGGTTTAGGGTTTAGGGTTTAGGGTACTTGAACCCCTCTCCTACGGATCATGTCTAGTGTCTAGTACCAAGATGCGAGAAAACCCCATAGTCTCCACCCTGAAGCCGGAAAGCCTTGCAGTAAACCCTAAACCCACAAACCATCAAACCCCCAAGCCTCAAAGTCAAAAGCTCTTCAGCTACATACCACGCCATATCTTAGGGGTACTTAGAAATAATTTTTAATCTTTGGTTACTATATACCCTAAGAAGCAGCTAAAATTATAATTTTTGCTAGGGGTCTAAGTTCAGTATAGATATCAGGGCGCTTGAATCTTTTTGAGCCTCCGTCTCCTTCACAAGCCTTTTTTAACCCGAAACGAGGGGGTTTAGGGCTGCAGGGTTCGTGGATTTAGGGTTTAAACACTTCCAAACTCTGAAACCACCAAGCCCCGAGACTTGACATCAAGCTCCATTCTCGTTGGGGCTTGCCCATTTTGGGTTTCGGGCTGCCGGGAAACCATCATGTCAATATTCGGCATTGGCGTTGGCAAGACCAAGGGGAGATACACCACAAGTAGCAGTCACGATTGCCCAGGTACTACAAGCTTGTGCGCGGCATCGCATCATTGGAGGCCACAGTATAGAGCCGGGGGCAGGGAATCCTGCCGCTTTGCTGCTGATGACGACGGCGACGACGATGACGATGGTGATGTTGGGTTTCGGAACCCTTGACCGGCTAGCAACCCATCGGAGCTGGATACAAAACCAAGGGGCAGCCGACAGTTTTATCATCTTGAGCATCCCTATACAAACCGCCGAGACTAAGCCCTCAACCCTCAAACTTGAAACCTGTCCCTAAACCCCAAATCCTGATGCTTCAACCCTGAACTCTAAGCACTAAACCCTGAACCCTAAATCCTGAACCCTGAACCCTAAATCCAGAACCCTAGCCTTGAACCATGGAGGACTGCCAGATGCACTGTGCTGCGACAGCCGGCTGCCGTGGCGTGGAATTTTCGCGCCAGCGATGTGAGGCTCGAATACGGGTTTGTAGATCTTTCGGAATTCAGAGTTTCTATTACAGGGGTTAGAATCATAGTATACTGCAGGGTTTCGGGCTTGAGATTTTCGGGCTTGAGGTTTCTGGGCTTGGTGTTTGGTGCTGTCAGGGTGCATGGTTTAGAGTTTCAGCCGGCAGTTTTTTTTTATGAGTGCAGGAAGTCTACTGCTTCAAGACGACAGCTTGGCTGACAGGTTTGGGGGTTCAAGCAGTTTCCAATATAAAAGAGTTGGGCATACTAGTGCTGCAGGTATGCTGATGTATCCGGGGTCTCAGCCCGTGATTAGTTAGCCATTCAACCTTGAATCCTGCACTGTAAAATCCGAACTGCCGAGGGCGTACACCTAGATCGAAGGATCAGAAGGGGTGAGCAACGTTTAGTTCCAGAACCAGCACTTAGGAGTTCACGATGCGCAGCTGCAAGATGGATGCGCCATGATTTACCCAATCTCTGCTACCTACAAGGGTAGTTCTCTAAATTAAGGTACTTTTTTTCGGCCCCAAAATAGCACAGCACCTCTAAAAAAAAAGACCCTGAAAGGGGCCATATTCTAGAGAACTGCCCACAAGTTACAGGAGTATTCCTTAATTCAGGCCCTCGGCCACGACCCTAACCCCGAAGCATCCCGAAGCTGAAAGAAGCCGCCAGCACCCTCGAAGCCCTAAGCCCTAAACCCCGGGAACCCCGGAACCCTAGGGTTTAGGGTTTAGGGGTTTAGGGGTTTAGGGTTTAGGGTTTAGGGTTTAGGGTTTAGGGCCTAAACCCCTAAACGTATCCTAATCCTCGAACAGCTGCAACGCCCTCTTCCCAGAGGTGTGGCTGCGAGCCGAGGGCATTGAGGCAAGCAAGCTGAATCCAGGGGCCTGCAAAATCGTCAGTGCTTGTTTTTGATTGAGGGGAGGGGGTCCTCGTAAAAATAGGGATATCAATTATATAGCTTATTGCTGTACGCTCTAGTATACCACAGTTTATTACAAGATAGTATCGCATCGTATCGTATATTATTATCGTATGTTGTAGCATACCCCCTTGTTTTCAATCCAAGCTCTCAGCGTCCTGGGCGTCTTGCCGCGTTGGTTGCCGCCTAATGTTTCAGGGTCAGGGCATATATGGAGGGCAAAAGGCTTCATGTTGAGGGCTTTAAGGCAAGTAGGGGCTGATTTCTGGAAGCTATGATGAGGGGAGTTATAGGTTCTTGTGCGGGACTTCTCACGTTGCTTAGTAATACCAGGCTTGCTCCACCCCTGGTGCAGCAAGTAAAGTCTGAAGAACCTCGACGCTGCGAGCCAGGCGACGATCGCGCTGCCAGGATTCACGTGCATGCGCTATGCCACTTGGCTTGCCAGGCCCACCCTCCTCCCCCCCAATCGAAGAACCACAATCCGCACAATCAAACGAAAAGCCCCTCTCTCCGAACCGTGAACCCTAATCTCTATAAGCCCTAAATCCTAAGTATTAAATCCGAGCCCTAATCTCTATAAGGCCCTGCAGAACTCCCAACAAGAAGCTTTCCGAACCTCCGGAACGTGTTTGCCAGAGTAGCGAGTCAGAAGCTTTTTCGGAGGACCCCCAAACATAAAGAATAACCAGGTAACGTTGGAGAGCCCACCCGCCTATAAAAGACCCGAAACCTTTGCAAGCACAATCCGGTAGCACCCTTATCAACCCCCGAATATAGGAACCTTTTGTTAAGGTTCTTTATCTGGATCCTAGAACTTTTGGGGTTCTAGGACGAGGGTTTCTTTGCACTACAAGGCCCTCTAAACTCTGAAACGCCACAAGCCCTGCACCCTAAACCCTCTAAACCCCGAACCTGCTCTTAGGATGGCCCAGTTGTCACGACGACCACACCGATGGTGGGTATCTGGGTGATTTAAATTTCCATTGATGGTTTGGTGATCTGAACAGCTGGGGGGTTTCGGTTCTGGTTGTGTTGAGAGACCTAAACCCTAAACCCATGGCCTTGAGTTTAGGAGATTCGATTAAGAGATGTTTCGAGGGCCTTGGGTTTTTAGCCTAGGTTTGGGTTTTGTGGCGTTAGGTTTGGGCCTATTGTGGTTTCGGATAGGCGAGACTTATGCGGTCTAGGGTTAATAAGTTCCGGCTCAGGTGCTATATTGCTGCTTTTACGTTTGAGAGGTGACTGCAGCATGCTGGTTAGAGGAGGCCTGCCATTTCCAAAATCACGGAGGCTGATGAAAGCTGTGTGTGTGTGTGTGTATCTACAGACACAAAAACGCATGAAGATTGAGGAGCCTTTCCAGGCAGGTTATTTCGGGTCCCGGCATACCCCAAACCCTAAACCCTAATATAGGAGCCTTAATCATTACCTATACTATTTTGGGGGCTCCTTACTATATTTATAGTATGATATACCTCAAACCCGATTCTAATTATGAAGGTCCCTACATTGAACCCTCAACCCTAAACCCTAAACCCTAAACCCATACATTAAACGGTTTTATCAGGCACCTGGAGTCCGGTGGATGGCGGCGACGGTCGCGCCTGCCGCGGTGCCTCGAGCAGCGACAACTCCGCCGGTTGCCGGGACCGCTATGTTAATTCATAAGGGTGGTTGTCAAAATTATGGTCCCTTTTTGGGTCCTTATAATAATACGGCACCTATTATTTAGGGTACCCCAAAAGGGGCCATAATTTTGACAACTACCCTAATAAGCAAGTAAAAGTTCAAATAGACAAAGTATACGATTCTGGGCTAGTGTCAGGCTCACTACCGTTCTCACGCCTGCTCTCAGTTTTTGGGCTTCTCTTCACTGCTGATTTTGGGAATCCTTGCATCCTACTGCCCGAAACCCTAAACCCTAAACCCATGGCATCCCGAAGGATCACTCCTTTCCGGACCCGAACCCCGAAGTGTTTGGGTTTAGGGGTTTAAGGAAACTGTTCGAATGGTTCCTTTTAGGGCTTTGGGTTTAGGGTTTATGGTTCCCTTTGGGGCTCCTTAAGGGCCTCTAAGGGCTCCTTGCGTTTAGGCTTTAGGGTTCAGGGTGAAGGGCTTAGGGTTTAGGGTTTAGGGTTTAGGGTTTAGGGTTTGGGGTTTAGGGTTTAGGGTTTAGGGTTCAGGGTGAAGGGCTTAGGGTTTAGGACTTGGGGAGCATCTTTGAACCACAAGCCTGCTTTCAATCTAAGGGCTTTAGGAGGGACCCCTAATAGGGACCCTTGTAGGTTATTGGGGTTAATATGGGGACTACCTGGCTATATAAGGGGTATATAAGGACTATACAATGGTTATTTAAGGTAATGGGATCAAGGGTCCCTATTAGAGGTCCCTCCTAAAGTCCATAGATTCAAACGCTCAGACTACTACACCGTCGTCCCTGGACTCGTGAACCTGGATGCCTGCAAGGCTTCTTCATTGGCATGCTTTCCGGGAAACAAGAGTTTTCTCGCGATTGCTACGATGTTATAGGGCATCTATTGCATTTTCCCATAGGTTTTTTTCAGGGTGGATATGGTGTCTTGTCCGAGGGTTGCGGGGGGTTGTATGGTTTTACAGGCAAGATGCGTGTTCTTACTTTGGGCTTGGAAGCTTCTTGCGCCGGCTCCTTCTTGGCGGAACGACTTCCTGAAGACATTGCGAAGTTGCATCTTTAGGCTGCTAGGTCTGCTAGGTATGACAGACTCCAGAATGTTCTCAAAGCCGAATGAGTGTCATCGATGGCGTTAATGAAGCAACCATCCAGACATATCGGGACCTTCAACTCTTTGACGTCGGTTTTGATTGTTTGATGCCTAAGCTCAAGCCCCAGATCTGACAACCCTAAGCGCTCAAGCTTCTTAGACTACTATAGGCGCCTTAACAATTACCTCCACTATTTTGGACTTATAGCATCATATACCCCAAAACCCGATTCTAATTATTAAACCCTAAACCCTAAACCCTAAACCCCAAAACCCTATTCTAATTAAGGCCCCTACATTACCCCATGACCTGCCCCATGCAACTGCAGGCCCGTTGCCAGATCACCGATGGCTGCCAAGGGGTGGAGTCGCCCAGCAGAAGTGGCGGAGAATGACGGTTTCGGGTTTAGGGTTTAGGATTTAGGATTTAGGATATCGGGTTTTCAACTCATTGGGCTTTATCCGATTATTGCAATTAGGAACAAGGGGCAGTTGGGGTTGAGGGCGCGGTCGTTGTTTGGGGCTCATGTTGCTCGACTTTCGACGTAATATAGGGGCCTAGGAAATAAAATGGGGTTTGGGGGTCGATTATACTTTACTAATAATAAGGAACCCCCAAAACCCTATTCTAATTATTAAGGGCCCTATACTAAGCCTTGTTCTCATTTTCCTACATAACATCCTCGACACCCTATCCGCCTATCCTGTTTATCCAAGGCCCCTAACATCAACGCTGAAAACTTGATCCTTGAGCCTTCCTGGGCAGGACCGACTACGTAGGGCTACAAGCGGGGTCGCAGGTACGCATTTAAGAGCTTGTGCACCCAATTCTCGCCGACTTCTAAGTCTCATGATCGATGTATTTCTGATTTGGACATTGCTTCTGATCCTGCATAAACTTCCCCCCCCCCCCGCCACGTGAGGTTCAAGATCGGTCGCTGTGAAATTTGGACGCGGCCTGGGGGCATCCAGGCTTCTATCCCCCTCACAGGCGCCGGCTTCAGAACCTTTAGAGATTAAGGTTCAGGGTTTGGGGTTTAGGGTTTAGGGCCGAAGTGTAGGGTTTAGGGCCACCTGACAGTCGTCGTCGTCGTTGTCCACATTGCCACGAAAACTCGCTTGTTGAGTATGATGCCACGACACTATCTGTGAATATCATATCTTGAAGCCTCTGGCTGCACGGCTTTGATGTTTTAGAGCCGTGAAGTCATGTATCTACCACATGTCATGCATGCGAGTGCGTCTTTGTGTGTGTGTGTGTGCGTGGTTATGTGCGTAGATAGATATGTCGGCAGGTATGCAGGCGAGCACATAGGTAAACAAACAAGTATCTCTTAGATGCTCTATCCCCACTGGCGCTCTCTTCCCTTGCAGGGCAGATCGCTCACATCAGAGTAGCCTCTGAAGCTGGACCTGTAAGAACGTGCGCGACGTGAAGTTTCAGAGTGTGCGAGTCGTGCTTCAGGGTGATGCTTGGCCTTGCAGGAAAGATCCATCACATTTTCAGGTGGCTAGTTACCGTTATAGGAGCCGTTTAGAAGGTCTATATACTTTATGGAAGCCTTATAGAAGCCCAATATACCCTGAACTCCCCACCTGTAGTTTCCCTTTGAAAAGAGGGCTGCGTATTCTTGCAATGCAATGTGTACCATCTACTGCAGACGACGACATGCCCAGCACACCAACGCCCATCCGAAACCTGGGCCCCGAAGACAGAAGGTACCGTAAGCCCTAAATCCTAAACCCTAAACCCCTAAACCCCTAAACCCCTAAACCCTAAACCCCTAAACCCCTAAACCCCTAAACCCTAAACCCCTAAACCCTAATGCCAGGCCTTCCCTGGGCGGCGTCATCTC